AGCTACTGTTGATGTCCAGTTGTTTTGCTGTGAAGTGCTGTGTTGCTTGCATTTTCCTGTTCTGATTTGCTTTGTTTCATTCTGTTTTATTTTGTTCTCTTTAATATAAAAAAAATCTTTAAAAAAAAAGATCAAAATGAAAGATACAGCAACAGGAAGTAGGGAAATTTTTTTCAAATGGGAAGGGAACAAGAGATGGAAGGAGGGAATAAAGGAAAAGAAAGGGGGTTTTGAAAAAGAACTAAAAGGATAACATGGAAATAGCTTTTCTAAATGGTAAGGGGACCAAGAGATGAAAGGAGCAAGAAGGGGTACAGGACTAAAAAAGAATTAAGATGTGCTGTGTCCATGTGCTAACTCCTCACAATAAATGTAATCACTATGTTCTACAGACATGTACTAATAAAATAAAAACAGAGAAGAAGACAGAAACAAAAAATAAGTAAATAAATAGAAAAAGTTTTAAAATTGCTTTGGAAAAAATATACAACATTAAACTCTATTAGAAAATTAAAATATTTTTTAAAGTAGTATTAGAGCAACAAAAACAAATGCTAGTTTGGAGTTACAGTGTGTGAGAACTATGGTATTTTCAGACCAAAGGAGACACACAATACGACTAAAAGATCAGAATACTTTAAAAAGTGAGAAATTATCAGGATATGATAGGGATAACATATCAACCAATTTGTAAACTGATCATTTTCTGACCAACAGCCAAATCCAAGATGTTTCCCATGTTTCTTTAGAAGTGCATCAGACACACAGTTGCAAATGAATTACAAATGTGAAATGTTTGACAAATACCTCAACCACACTTTAAAACACTTTGGGGATGTAGCTCAAAGGTTTAAGCACCTATCTGGCAAGTACAAGGTCATGAGTTCAATCCCAAGTATAAAAAAAAAAAAACTCTTTGGTAAAAGAATGAGTTCATCTGTAGCCACTTAACTATTCAGACTAAGTTGAATCCCAATTTACAGAAAATATCAAAATAAATTCAAATGAATAAAGTCCAACACAAACAGTGAAGGCATACTATCAAATGCATTTCGAAAAGACTGAACTAATTTAACATTTCTACTGTCACTGTACTACCCATTTTTCTTACATTCATTTAAAACGAATTCATTCAAAGCATTCCACTTTAAGAAATTCATGGCAGGGGCTGGGGATTTAGCTCAGTGGCATAAGCGCCTGCCTTGCAAGCAGGCAGTCATGAGTTCGATCCCTGGTACCAACAAAAATGAAAAAGACAAAAAAAAAAGAAATTCATGGCAAAGCAATCATCAGAAGCACACATGAAAACCGATATATAATTAACAAAAACTTAGCTTATATTTTGAAGTTGAAAAAGATATCTTCATTAATGTTTTTCACTTGAGCAATTTTACTGTAGCGAAATAAAATACTACACAGGAATTATATTATGGTTGATACATTATATCAAATTAAGCAGTTTAGAAATTTAATTAAGGAACTCACTCAGCAAGGAATCAGGATCCTTATTTTATAAATATCCTCATCCTGTGCAAGAGGAGGACTCAGAGATTTTGTGAGCACTACACCTGCCCCGGAGAGTGGGGTGGCCTGTGTACAATTTAAGGAAGGAAAAGAGGCTTGCTCCCACCCCTTTTGCTCTGGCTGCTGCCTTGAAGTGTTGCCCCAGGGCCAAGCCACCCTGCCTTGGAGCGAGCTGATTATGGACTGAAACCTCCACAAACTGTGAGCTAAATAAACCCTTCTTCCTTCATTTTGGTTGTTCAGTATTTTGTCTCAGCAATGAGAGAAAAGAAACCAAGACAAATTACTAGTGACGGTATTGAATAATATTTGGTGGTATGAGGAAATGTCTTATGATTTAAAATGTCTTATGAATAAAAAATACAGTGTTACAAATAAGTTTTCATACTTAATCCCAAATCCATGAAAGAATAAAATTCAATTTTAAAATCATGTGGATGCAAATAAGCTTAAGGATGGATAATAAATGTTTAAGTGTAAAGGATTCTTTTCTTCCTAGAATTTCTTTTCTAAACTGTTTAATTTGCCAAACTTTCCATATTAAAGATCCACAACTTTATAATCGGAAAAAACTACTTTTATAGTTTGTTTCCAGATTAATATAATCCACATCTATGCATCCATAACTAAAAATTGCCTAAATATTTATGAACAGTAATGTTCATGTCAGCAATATTTAAGAAGAAAGTGAGTAGAAACAATTTAAATGTGGGAGAAAAAAAAGATTTGGATAAACAAATTATAGTGCCTTCATAGGATGTCCATTAATTGTGTTAGAGAAATAATTAATAACTAGAAAAAATGCTGAGATATAGCATACACTTACAATACAGAACATGAAATGGCATAGTTACCAGCTGCATTTTATAACTGTATGTATAAATCACATAAAACATTATAAAACAGGATGGTATGAAACAAAAATGTTAAATTTATTATCTCTGGACAATGGTGTTTATTTTCTTTTCTTTTATTTCAGTCCTTTTAATTTTGTTCTTAACACTATTCTGTTTTCCAAGTTCTCTACAAAGCAAGTTTGGGAGGTGTGACACACATACAAGAATATCCAAAGGAGAAACAGAAGGAGAAGAGGAAATTTAAAAATATAGCACCCCCATCTGTCCTATTGCTTCGAGTTTATCTTAGTTACAAAATTTTATTCACTTTTAAATTTCAAATGACACTAAAGGAAGAGATTATTTTATCTACCACATGGAAATACAGGATTATTTTTAGAGAAGTATGGTTCCAAATGCATGCTTTTAATTTAAAATTTTCAATAAGTTTAAAATGGTGTGAGTACTCTCTTTTAAAGTGAATATGTTATAAAATGCATCTCTAATGTTTCACCAATGTCTTAATACTTTCCACTTAAGACGCATCCAAAATACTGCATTTACTTCATTCTTTTCTCCAGTGAAAACACTATGTTCATGTACAATTATGAGCTAAATAAGGAAAATACTAGGTATTCTTACTTATTTTGATAATATTTTGAGTGAATTTCAATTAAGGTAATTTTGGAAGTTGTGTGAAAGCTTAGGTTCAACAAACAAATGTTTTTAAGAAATATCACATTCAATTATTAGTAGTTATATACTAAAATCACAAAAAGTAAGTATATTCCTATCACTCCATATAAATCAATGATTATTGAAGCTTTATACTATATATTTAAAATGATAAATCATTTAATAATTAAATAACCAAACATTTAAAATTCAAAATTGTTTATATGAAGACAGATGTTCTGCTATCTAATCGTCCTAAAATTACTGCATCAAATAAATTACTCTGACAAAAGCTTTTATCCCATACATGTGAAGTAATTCTAGAGTATACTATTTCCTGTTTTCCACATAAATAATGACAACTGGAAACAACCTCTTCAGCTCTTAAAAGCTTTGATTTTCAGCAATGCACCCTTAAAAAGCATCATCATACTATTAACATCATGCTATTAACAATTTAGACAAATTACTTGAAGCAGATGATACAGCATGGCATGCCTCTGTTGTTAATATCTTTTCAGTCTTTACAATGATTGAGACTTCTTAAGATTCTGCAACTTGTTACACGTTTTTGCCTCAATCTCCAATGTAAGTTTTTTCTTTATATGCGAAAAAACATTTAACACAACAATCTGCTGTTACTGGAATAACTCCAAATGTGGTATTTCAATTTTAAAATGCTGATATGAACTTTATAAAGTTATATTGCCTTCCACAGATATGTTTAACTATAAAGACCAGATGTCAAATAACCTTCAGTTTTGTACTTACTTAAATGCAAAAGCCTTAAATGAACGTATGTACTTAAGATTTTTCCTGGTACAATAATGGTGTTTTTAAAAAATAGTATCCTGAGAAAAGCAGTACAGAAAATGAAACAAAAAGCTGCTTCTTTGAAACTGTTAATAAAATTGGTAAAACTCTAGCCAGACTAACAAAGTATGAGAGACAAGACACAAATTATCAGTACCCTGAACAAAATAGGGAATGTCACTACACACATTGTAGACGTCAAAACAGCAATAAAAGAATACTACAAATAACTTATTCACAATTTTGAAATAAATGAATTCCTAAAAGCACAAACTACAACTCAGTCAAACTAAAACAGATAATCTGCACAGCTTACTACTATTAAAGAAATTTATTTTCCATTTTGAAAGACTACCAACAAAGGAGAAATTTCACATTTTACTATTAAAACAGCAATAGTTTAATTTTAAATCTAGGCTCAAACTATTTCACTGCAGACTTTTACCAAGCATTTTAAGAATTAACACCAAGTCCTCACAAAAACTTTCAGAAAATAAGAAGAGGAAATATTTTTTACTAGTATTATCACACTATTATCATGACACCAAAAAGGAAGGGAAGAAATAAAGTGGGGATAGGAGGAGGAAGGAAAGAAAGAAAACTACAGACCAATATCTCTCCTGAGGATAAACGCAAAACAACCTTTTTTGGGGGGTGGGTGGGGGTGGTTTTGCAGTTCTGGGGATTAAATCAAGAGCTTAGTACATGCTAGCCATACGTTCTAACAAACCCTGCCCAAAAGGTAAAGCACTTTTTACCAAAATATTAGAAATCATGTATAACAAACCCTGAAGTTTATTCCATAGATTCAATATTCTAAAATCAATCAATGTAACATATCCTGTAAATAAGCTAATGAAAAAAATCATAAAATCTGAGAGCCACTAGCACATACATAATCTGTAGTTGTATTTACTATGGATAAGATTAACCATTACATTTTAAAGGGCTTGCCTACACAAGAATAACTCTCTGTCAACAAATCAAAACTGAATCTATTTCAAATTTTGCATGATTATTTGAATTCTGAGAACTAAAAAAAAAGGAAATTGAAATTTTTTTCTTTAATTTGTAGAGTTTCTTGGACAAAATTTCTGTCCTACAATTAAAATCCCTGTATGTCATCTCAATTAGGAAAGAAAACTGTCTTACCATAATTAAACTGACTGTTGGACTTTTCACAGTTAATGATGTTAAACCTGTAAGCCACACCTGGCCGCATTCCACTGACTTCAAAGTAAAACCACTGATGATAATGATTGCTGTTTATATCGGAGTTAAGAATAAGATCATATTCATTTCTGAAAATGGAAGATAAAGGTATCTGATGAAAATTAAGAAAAACTTGTGCATATACAAAATGAGAACATTTTAAATGACTTACTTTCTAATTTGAATTACTTTGCGCAGATTCCCAGATTCAAATTTGGAGTTAAACTTCAAAATATCTCCTTCTTCTGGAATGGTGCAACTAAGTATTTTAAATTAAGTATATTAAAATACATTATATTAAACAAATGAGTTTAAAAACTATATTACAAATAAAAATATATGATAGTCATATCAATTCCTCATTATTTCTAAAACAACAAAAAATCAAAGTGGACTTTATCTAGCATTTACAGACCAAAACATTTTAATTAAAGACTTGTTCTCACAAACTATACTAAAATAAGAATTTTTGCTTCAATGAACAAATATCATTTCTAAAATATTGATTATAAGAAAAGTTTCATTTTAAAACTTGTATATAATCTCTAATTCTAAAGTAGCAATAATTGTAACTAACCATGCAGCAAAAGATAAGTTAAGAAAGCAATATTATGTTACTTAATTAGCACCAAAAAGGTAATACTATACTCATTTTATATGTTTGTTATTTAATTAGTGTTTACTGAGCATATACTAGGTGCAGTATTATATCTGGTTCTTCTACTGTAATAAAAGTTATTGCAGTTCTGAAGATTATATTCTAAAAGAAAATTAGAGAGTTCAAGAAGCTCAATGGTTGTTTTTAAAGCCATTTTAGATAGAACAGTATAGTATATCACATGCAAGGTTTTTGAGTTTCTGTTTTGTAACACATTTGCTCTATTTATCTGATGCATAATTAAAAACACTGAAATAAGAGATTTTTTTAATAAACTATATTTCCCCTCTAAGTTATTTTTTTTCTTTGCAGTGCTGGAATTGAACCCAGGGTTCTCTCTGTGCACGCCAAGTGCTCTGAGCCATCCCCTCACCCCAGAGTATTTAAAATTCAGTCATTAGCTTTGACATAGCTGTTACTTGTATGTCTCTATCAAACCTTTTTTAAAGTGTTTACTTCCTCGAAATATGACTGGTAAAATGTGAAATTTCTCCAAAATATTAAAATGCTGAGAGAAGAGAAAAACTCACTGAGGGTAAACTTTTCATTTGAGGGGGCAAATGACTAAACAATAGTCACACTATTCATATATAATTTTCATTTTATTTACTCCTTTAAACCCTAAAATGTGGCATCAGTGCTAAATGATTCACGTGCAAAGCTTGGTAAACAGCTTCAAAAATCAAGCAGGTAACTTAAATAACTGAAACAGATTTCAACTAGCAAAGATAAGAAGGAAGTAAGGAGAGTGGGGAGTCAGGTCCTTCTCGGGGGAGACTGATTATTTGTCCTCAGAAAAGAACGACAAGTTAGTATTTCATGTGCAATCTCAAACTCTTTTAAATGGAAGTAATTTCAGTTTTTAAATACAGCAGTAATTTATAATCATCATCCTACTTTTCTCTCATTGCTGAGACAAAATATCCAACACTCACAAGTTAAGGGAGAAAAGGTTTATTTAGCTCACAGTTCATAGAGGTTTTAATCCATAATCAGCTGGCTCCAAGGCAGGATGGCTTGGCAGAGGGGATTCATAGAGAAGAAACAGTTCATGGAAAGCAGAAAACAGCAAATGCATGCAAGCAAGGGAGAGACAAGACTCTTTCTATTCCTTATATGGTATCTAGGCAACTGGGATTAGGGCTGTGTCAAAGCAATTAGTGGGCTGATTTATTGATCACACAATAGTATTGTACCATAAAGCAATCACACACTAGAGTGTGATTCAGCCACCTCTGAAAAAGCCCCACCTATGAATGCATGAGTCTTTAAGGGGACATCTATAAACAAACCATAACATTCCACCCCTGACCACCAAAGACTCATGCATATCCCCTTATGCAAAAGGCATTTAGTCCATCTCTAACAGTTGCCAAAGTCCTAACAGTTTCATCATTGCTGCAAATTCCAAGTTCAAAGTCTCCTCTAAGATGTAAGACAAAGTTTAAGCAGTGAACCCCTATACAAATGAAAATAAAGTTAAACACTTCAGAATACAATGACACAAGCTAAACACTGCCATTCCAAATGGTACAAATAGGAGGATACAAAGAAATGGGACCAAAGCAAGTCCAATATCTAGCAGGGCAAACATTAACTTCTGGAGTTCCATCTAGTATCTGAAGAAATCTGTGGCAACCTGTGAACTCGAAAGGGCTTGGATGGCTCTGCCTCTGTGACACTGCATGGCTGTAGCTCCCTTGGCTTCTCTTTGGGGTTGGATGTGCTCCCTCTTTGCAGTTTTCTCAGATATCCATGTTCCTGGTTTCTACAAACTTTTGGGCTCTCTAATGCACCCATGGATGCACACTCACAGCTTCATACACTGCCCTCTTGGGGGCACACACATACTGCCTATCCTCCCAGGCCTTCTTCTGAAATCTTAGTGGAAGCCTTCCTAACCTCACAACTCTTACATTCTACATGCACCCAAAATCAGCAATACATGGATGATATCAAAGTTGGCTACCAGCAGGATCAATAGCCAGGCTTCCTTCTCTCTTGGCTGTAGGGGTCAAGTGCCTGGGTCGCTGAACACTAAACCCAATTTGGAGGAACACACTTTCTAGGTCACCACCATTCTGGTGGTGATCTAGGGCTCTCTTCTCAAACTCTTTCACCTTTGCAACTGTTAGGCTGTAAAGGCTGGAATCCTGCTGGTTCTTGGGATTTCTCAGGCCATTTTTCCTACTGTCTTTTGAAATATTTGACTTTTCCTTGCTAATCTTTTCAGTGACCAACTTCTCCTTTGTTCCATCTCTGCAGGCCACAACTTTACGAGAGAGTTTCCTTTCTGGCTAAACTCACAACATTTTGCATCATTTATGCTGGGCTTCTTGATCTTGATTCTTAACACAAATCTAGCTTAAAAAAAAAAACCACCAGTAGCTATGCCACCACCTCAACATTAGACTGCCTTGAAATTTCTTCTGCAAGATTAATCAGTCTGATTTGGTTTTTTTCTCTTCAAAAACAAGTAATAAGAACTGTGGAAGTAATAAAACCCAAAATGTACAACTGTTATTGTAAAAAAAGAGAGGAAAAGAAAGTGATCTAAAGAATATAACTGCATGTATATTTAAGTGTGTAAGATAGAAAACCATATTACTAAGTTTTTGTTGGATCATTGAACAGAACTGTTTGCAATCTCACTGTTTGAATGTCCACTTTGTATGCTTTAATTTTGTAATCTGAACAACTATTTCTAAGATGACAATATGTAATCTATTAACTAGTGATTTCTTACTGTATATTTTTTTCTTGAAATTCTGTATTACTTGTACCCTTTTACTATTTTGTTTTGTTTCTCTTTAAATTAAAAAAAAATGATTAATCAAGTCTGCTGCCTTTAATCCCAGTCTGAGGCAAAGTCTCTGGACATGAGCACATTGTGACAAAGTTTCTGCCAAATTGTAAGACACATGTTCTGGAGTCCAACAGCCAATGCAGTCCTTCCCAGAAGAAACTTCCTGATCTGGTCTTTACTGGTATCATTTCTAACAATTTTCTAGTCTTCTGAGCTCTGACCAGAATCTCTCATTAAGTACAATTTATGGCTCTACTTTTTCAGCTGGTATCCTCAAACCTTTCCTAACCCTTCCCCATCTCAAAAGCCATTCCTAAAGGCTCCTAGACCACATGGTCAGATACAATCACGGCAATGACCTCATTTCTCTGTCTTAGTTACTTTCCTCTTATTGCTGAAACAAAACATTCACAAGTTAAGGAAAGAAAGGTTTTTTAGCTCACAGTTTGTAGAGGTTTTAGTTCATAATCAACTGGCTCCAAGGCAGAGGGGCATCACGAGCAGAACCAATTCATGGCAAACATAAGACACAAAAAGCAAGCAAGCAAGCAAGCAAGAAAGGGGAAAGACAAGAATCTTTCTGTCCCTTATATTGTATATTTGGCTGTTGGGGTTAGTGTCAAACCAATCAGTGGACTGATTCAGTAATCACTCACCTTTAATACTAATACCCGTAATCCTAGCATTGCACCATGAATCAATCACACACTCTAGATTCAGCCACTTCTGAAAAACCCCCAACTACGATTGCATGAAACTTTGAGAGGACATCTACATAAAAGCCGTAATAATCATTAAAATCTATCTAAAAGCAAAAAAGTTTGTCATATATTTAATTTAAACAAATAAACAAACATGTTTTAGCATATTTCCCTGTCAAAGGATGAAAACATAGTAACATTAAAGTAGGAGTTAACTATAACTTCCTATCTTTTATAAATATGTAACACTGTAATTTTACTTTAAAAATAAAACTAATACAATGTTTATTAAAAATCAGACTTACTTTGGGTTATCTAAGTCATATACCACGCGATCTATGATGTCACTCTGATGTATTAGTCTCTCAATATCTTGGGCAATTTTTGTCCTGAAATCATAAAAGAGAAATTTGACTAAATTCACTATTATATGCCAATAGTATATAACTTTCTCCAATATAAATTTAGAATGACAAAGTATAAAATGATAAAAAATTTCTTTTAAATGACTATTTCTCTCTATATTATGTACAAAAAAAATATCAGTGCATAACAAAGTAGACAAAAATAAGTATTTATCAGAATCTGAGTTCTAGAAAATAACCATGTACAATACAACTACTGTTTAATAGAAGGAGCAAGGGAAAAGAGGTAAGAAGAGGGGAAGGGAGAGGAAATCTAAAATGTCTTTAAATCTTTCCACATAGAAATGGTATAGATTTTTTGTTTAGTTAGCCCTTAGACAAATACTTTGTGTATATAGTAGTGGCATTATAGAAGTGATAAAGACATGAATAGTCAGTGATAACGTAAGAAGAACATATTTTAAAATGATTAAGCTGGAAATTTAGCAAAAATGCCACTGTCAATCAGTTGGTTTACACTTTGGCAGAATCACCCCTCTTCTGTGGTAGGAAAGGAAAGGTGGACTGAGGAAATAATTGAACCTTATCTCATTCTGAATCAGTCCAACAAAATGAACATTTGACTGGAAAAATCCTAAAATCCCTCACAATGTCCTACAACATTCAGCCACTCACAGGACTCACAATCTTCCCCTTCAATATTTAAGCTGAATAAGATAGTAACCAGCAGGTAGCACAAACTAGCTAAAGCATAATAGCCTGGATCACGAGACCAGGTGTTAGAACTACAGGTAGAATAACCCTGCTAGTATTAGTATGTACTTAGCTACATCTCATAGTATATTTCCTTTACAGAGGAAATTGATTTAAAATTAAAGTTTACATTTGTCCATTTAAGCTAAAGATAGGAAATATAAACTAGAACTGTAACTTATAGACTTACTGAGAGCAGGGTAAAAACATTTGCCAAAATGCTTATAATAAAGAGCTCAAAAATACTTTTAAGTATTGAAAATCTCCTTAACTTTAGGGAAACCTAAAATTAATCTGCTGCACCAGGACACTTCTCTGAGACTAAAGGATATTAATAACATTACAGGATAACCTTAAACTCTCAATATGCCAAGAATCTATTCTAACTGAAGAATTAAACACTGCAGGAAAATATTAAAAGGTCTGACAGTGAAGCATATAAAAAGAATATTAAAAAACTAAAAGTGCAATACCAAAGATTCTGAATCTACTAAATAGTTAAGCATAATTTACTTTTAAATTTATTTTTAAAAACTACTGACACCATTGTAGTTTGTTAGTGATAAAAAAGATACACTATCAAAGGATTAAGCCATAAATTCTTGATTTAGATTGACTATCATAACTTCAAAATGCCAAGTTTTTCTAAAGAAATGAGCTTCTTTAAAAAAAATTAACAATTGCAATAATTCAGAATTTATACTAATTATATCTTCAACGGTAAAAGTCCTACACACATATGTACACACACATACACACAGAAATTCAAATATATCACACAAAAACATTCAATATTCAAGTATCAGTAAATGACTAAAATACACCCATTGATTTAATTAATGGTGTGTGTGTATATATATATATACCATCAGTGTGCCAAAATTAATATTTAAAAAGTTTTGGATGGTATTAAAAGGCTGCCTGTAACAGCCCAGTTCCATACTCATATCCATAAAGGGTCAAAAAACACAGGCCATTTGGACTCAGTAGGTGACATAACTAAGAAAGAGCTGACTACCTGGCCTGGGGAAACTGAGGAACACAAGATCTGTCTAAAAGATGACTGTTGCGAAGTAGAAAACAGGTGAAAACTGTCACACCTAAATTTCTCAAAACACCCAGAAACTTGAACTTCTCTATGGACTCTCCCAAAGTTTATGTTGCCAAATCACATCAAAAGTGAACGTGGGCTCATATTTAATCTAAAACTAATACTTGAGGGAATTTATGTTCTACTCTAAGTCCTCTTTAATCAATTACAAAGTCTTTTATTCAAATATGCTTTTGTGTAGGTGTTGAGGCATGTATCTAGATGTCCCCTCCAAAACCCCATGCACAGATAGGTGAGACTTTGGGGAAACGACTGATCACAGATGTGTAATACTGGATCAGTTCACTATGGGTTTATAGTTTAGGTGTGATGTTGGGAAGTGAAGTTTGGTGGGAAGAGATGAGTCACTGTGAGTGAGTGTGGTGTGCATACGTGCGTGTGTGTCCCTCCTCCCTCAACGGCTCATTGCTTCCTGCCTGCCACAGCCCTCTGCCATGCCACCTTGCCTTGCAGCCAACGAACTATGCACCGAAACCTCTACAAACTGTGAGCTACATAAACCTTTCCTCATTTAACTTGTGGGTGCTAGGTATGTTGCCCAGAAATGAGAAAAGTAAACAAAACAGTAAGTAACAGTTATGGTTTATATCTAGATGCTCCCTTAAAGTCTCACATAATCATAGGTGGGCTTTCAGAAGGTGATTGGATTATGGGCATTTATACTTGACTTGCTGTTCAGGAGGTGGGGTCGGGTCCAAAGAGAAAAGTCACTCGGGGCGTGACTTGGAAGGGTTTACCTCTCCTTGGTGTTTCTCTTGATCTCTCTGCTTTCTGTCTAACAAACTGTGAGCAGCTCTCCTCTGCTATGCTCCCCTGACATGCCATCCTGCCTTGGAATCAGCCAACTATGGACTGAAAAGTGAATCAAAAATAAATCTCTTCTTCTTTAAATTGTGAGTGCCTCGTATTTTGTCCCAAGGACAAGGAATGTGATTAACATAGTAACTTTCATAAAAGAGTATCAGTCTTTCCTTTAACTCACTTGCCAATGAAAATATACGGCTTTCCAGGGGCTGGGGATTTAGCTCAGCAGCATAAGCGCTTGCCTTGTAAGGGTGTGGTCATGAGTTCGATCCCTGGTACTGATTTAAAAAAAAAAAGAAAAAGACAAAAAAAAAAAAGAAAGAAAGAAAATATATGGCTTTCCAGACCAAAGAAGACAACAGATATTTCCAAGCACTCTCAAGGCCTATAACCCCAGCCTGATAAACATTCTACATTTATCAAATAATTAGCTCAAAAGAATATGCAGGACAGCCTGAAAATTCAGTCCCTACTCAAATGATCATATGCTATATGACCACCAGCAAATTGTAACTTGTTGGACTGTCAAACACAAGTCAACACTACAATTTAATGAATTTCCTTTTTATAGATATACAGGAAAAGATGTTTGTTACATAACAGTGTTCTCTGAGGGTCTGTATTATTCTTCATATTGTCTATAAACAAGATACACGATATTCTTGTTTACAGATAAAGTGGTTTAAGAACATATGTGTGTAATCACTACAGGTACATGTATGATATAAAATATACACAAGCGACAACAGATTCATGATCTAGAGTTTGGCTCCCAGCTCTGCCAAGTAGTCTGGATACATTATTCACCTATTGTGAGATTCAACATATTGTTCTGTACAATAGGAGTTCCTCAAACACAGAACTGTTTATATTAAACTGTACTTTATATCCCTATATCCACAGCACATAAAATGCTTACTACTTAATTCTGTGGCTACCATAAAAAACATTCATTAAAAGTCATTTGTTGCTTTTACTGTAATACTTTTACTGTTGCTCACTTCCAAAAGTACTTGTGTTTTTGTAAGCTGTTCTAAATGTAAAAAAATTCAGAGTTTTTCTCCCTCCTTATATTATTTTTCCACAATTCTTCACCATTTAACTTAAGATTCCTGAAAAGATAATATACTGGTATTGTAAAAAAAAAAAACAAATATAACATGAAAGCATAAAAAGACATTGTGTTGTCCTTTCAACACAATCCACAGTCTCCATTCATCTAATCAGTAACTGCTTTTATTACCTTCCTTCCAGATTTTATTTTATTCAAACATTAATTTAGATTGCTAGAACACCATAAAACAAGAACCTTGCTTACTTCTTCCAATAATGTATCTTACAACTCTTTCCTGAGCACATAGAGCTTTGTTTCTCAAACACTGCATGTTATTCATAAAAGAGACATACCATCATTTACTTAACTTGTCTTTAATTGAAGGGAATTTATTCCAACCTCAAAACAATACTGCAATAAGAAACTATGAATGTCGTTTCATACATATGGAAATTATGGGTTCAGGCACAGGTACACACACGTGATTTATAAAATAAATATGTTTCACGAATTTCCAAATGAGGTGTTAATGGACCAATGTAGCATTAGTTCTGACAGACCTTAGCCGACTGTCCTCCACAAAACAGATTATCAACTGAACGTCAATGCAAGAGAGAGTCTATTTTGCATAGCCTTATCAACAGAATGTACTGCTAAACTTTTAGGTTTTTAGCCAAGTTGATATTTGGGAAATGATGTCTTGGTGCATTTTAATTTCCATTTCTCTTGTTTTGAATCAAGTTGAATATAAAATACATTCTTTCTTAAAACACAATATATTATACAAAACTATAACTTATAACAAGACACATATACATAAATAGCCAGTTTTTTTCCATAGACATAGGAAAAAAAAGAAAAGAAAATGTTAATAGTGATTATTTCTGGAAGAGATTAAAAAGTGGCCTTTCTTCATTTACTTTCTCACGTGCTAATATTATAGAATATGAAAATAGGAAAATGCACCAAAATGCTAAGCATATTTTAGTGAGATGAATTTCATTTTAGTTTTTAAATTCATAAAAAACTATGTGTATTTTAATAATCATCATCAAAATCATCAATTTATAATAAAAAATTTTTAAATGTTTGTATTTTACCTAGATGGGTAAAACACTGCAATAGGCTTTTTCCTTTTAAATGAAGTTTTATTCTTTTTTATACTAAACTTTCTGTGGTTTGTGCAGATTTGTGATTGCATACAGAAAAGATGAAATAAAAAAGAAATGTAATACAACATTAAAAATATCTTTCCTGAATAACTTAAAGGAGTCTGTCTCCTTTTTCTAAAAATAATAAAGC